CCCACCGGCCCATGGAGGCTTAGACCAGAGCTGCCGGTCGGATAGCGTCGGCTCTGCATGAGCCGACCCGGAAGATCCAGAGATCTCCCCTGCCAGTCTCAATCCATTGGTGTGCCGCGGGGATTAGGGTGTGCCCATGCACACCCGACACACCCCGTGCGCACAACTATGGAAGTGAGGGATGGGGGAGACAGCCTACATGAAGAGTCAGCAAGGAGCAGGAAGGTAAAGTAAGAAAAGGAGAAGGAACAGAAATGAGCAGGAAGGGACATCAAGGAGCAGAAAGGGGCAGCAAGGAGCTGGAAGGGACAGCAAGGAGCTGGAAGGGACAGCAAGGAGCACAAAAGGTAAAGTAGGAGAAGGAGCACAAAGGAACAGAAATTAACAGGAAGGGTCAGCAAGGAGCTGGAAGGTAAAGCAGCACAAAGGTAAAGTAGAAGGAGCAGAAAGGGTCAGAAATGAGCTGGAAGGGGCAGAAGGAGCACAAAGGTAAAATAGGAGAATGAGCAGGAAGGGCCTGCAAGGAGCAGGAAGGAGCACAAAGGGACAGCAAAGAGCACAAAGGTAAAGGAGCAGAAAGAATCAGAAGGAGCACAAAGGTAAAGTAGGAGAAAGAGCAGAAAGGGACAGCAAGGAGCACAAAGGTAAAGTAGAAAAGGGAGCAGAAAGGGATCAGAATGAGAAAGGAGCAGAAGGGCGCAAAATAAGCAGAAAGTAGCAGAAAGGTAAAAAAACAGAAGGGGCCAAGGATAGAAAACAGTGTCAGAAGAAAAAAAAAAAAGACTTTCAAATGAAGGAGAGGAAAAGGAGATTGGAGCAGGAAGGACAAATGAAGTGAACCCTCCACTTTATTCTGGACACCACATCATAAGGCTTTGGTACCTGGGCCAGGCAGGGAAACGCTGGACCTTCTCATCTCCAAAGGTAGAAAAAAATATCAGTATTAATGTGTTCACTTTTATTTACTGAGTGTCAGGAAGCACAGAGTGCCGTTGGGTAGGGGTGTTGCTGATTGGCTAGAGCGGTCAGCTGGCACTCTAAGCCAATCAGTAGCTCCCCATTCAGAAAAAAAGTATAAATATTTTATGAACCAGGAACTAGAGATTGGCTTAGAGCGTCAACTGTCCACTCTAGCCAATCAGCGGCACCCATGCCTGACGTCAATCTGCACTTCCTGACACTCTGTTTCAGAAGCCAAATACCACTGAGCGACCTGGAGCTGGAGGAAGCCTTTGGGGTTAAACCATTTGAGAGTGATTTAACCCCTTAAAGGAAAGCGAGCACCCAGGGGCTTCCTGGCATCATAGCATTTTCATTTAGGTGATGTTGTTATGGTGACCAGAATGGTCCTTTAATTTGCTTAAAGGAACACTATAGTGTCAGGAATACAAACATATATTCCTGACACCATAGTTGTGAAAACGCTATTCTCCCTGGCTTTATGTGATAATGGCTATGCCCCTTCCCTTTCATGACACTGTCAAAAAGGTGCCAAGCATGGATGTCATTACAATTATGCCCCCCCCCTGGAAAAATTCCTGCGGACGCCCATGCTCAGAGGGGCAGTGACTGACAGATGTACCTGGCGTGCTATGGTCCATATGGTCACTGAGAGTCGGACACGACTGAACGACTAAACAACAACAAAGAGACTCCAAGTTGCCTGTTATACAGAAACTTAATATACACTTGTGATTAAAAGACAGATTGACAAATTTGTCTGTAAACTGTACATGTGGGATGGTGTTCTTACCGGCCTATACGTCCCAGCTCCCTCTTGATGTCCTGAATAAGTTTAAAAGTTTGATCAATGCTCCAGTGTTGTCAATGCTCCAGTGTTTTCGATGCTCCACTGCTGCAGAGAATCTTCACAAGCCACAATTTAACGCCAAGACAAGTCCTTGACCCTCCAACTCCATTTTTAGCTCCTGTTTTGCTGGGTATGTCATGGTTCATGCGTTTTGCCCATTCCTTGGGCTTTCGCAATTGGAGAAACTACGATTGAGAGAGTCCAAGAAATGGGCTAAACGCACCATGGAAGTCGTCTAGACATTAAATTCAGGTTTTTTGGATTGTTTTATTTGGTTTTGTTACTGTTTTTTTTTTTTTTTTTAAATTGGCTATCCTCCTTTACTGTGTTGTTTCCCTTTATGTATTTAAATTTTTCTATCATATTCCCCCTGTCTCGTCTTTCCACCAAGCTATACATGTTAAGTTCCTTTAACCTTTCCTGGTAAGTTTTATCCTGCAATCTGTGAACCAGTTTAGTAGCCCTTCTCTGAACTTTCTCAAAAAGTATCAATATCCTTCTGAAGATACGGTCTCCAGTGCTGCGTACAATACTCCAAGTGAGGTCTCACCAGTGTTCTGTACAATGACATGAACACTTCTCTCTTTCTACTGCTAATACCTCTCCCTATACCAGTGTTTCCCAACCCAGTCCTCAAGGCACACCTACCAGTCCAGGATTTAGGGATTACCCAGTTGTGTCTAAGGTGTTTTTTTTCTTCTTTGTAAAAACACCTTAGACACACCCTGTAATCCCTAAATCCTGGACTGGTAGGTGTGCCTTGAGGACTGGGTTGGGAAACACTGCCCTATACAACCAAGCATTCTGTTAGCATTACCAGCGGCTCTATTACATTGTCTTCCTACCTTTAAGTCATCTGAAATAATTACTCCTAAATCCCTTTCCTCAGATGTTGAGGTTAGTAGGGTATCAAATATCATATACTCTGCCCTTGGGTTTTTACGTCCAAGGTGCATTATCTTGCACTTATCCACATTAAATGTCAGTTTTACAGCTCTGACCATTTTTCTAATTTTTGGCTTATCCCTCCTGGAACATCTACCCTGTTGCAAATTTTAGTATCATCAGCAAAAGGACATACCTTACCATCAAGACCTTCTGCAATATCACTAATAAAAAATATTAAAGAGTATGGGTCCAAGTACAGATCCCTGAGGTAACCCACTGGTAACTAGACCTTGCTTCGAATATACTTTGTTGACTATAACCCTCTGTCGCCTCTCATTTAGCCACTGCCTAACCCATTCAACAATATTGGAATCCAATCTTAAAGATTGTAGTTTATTGATGAGTCTTCTATGTGGAACAGTGTCAAAAGCCTTACTGAAATCTAGGTAAGCAATGTCTACTGCACCACCCTGATATATTATTTAAACCACCACCTGTGTAAGCTCGAACATTAGAATGTGTAGGATAGTAAGAACATTGTATTCCAAGGAAATGCAAGAGAAAATGTAAATAGAGACTGTTATCTTGCAGATTTTGTGAAACTAATGGACTTTCAAACACACAAGCAATATGTATAAATGAAATGCCTTCTTAAATTATTGCTAATCAAGAGTATGGGAACGGAATATGCTTCAATAATCTTTAGGACACAATGCATATCATAACACATTACATTTATCTTGATATAAGAAAAGAGGGTTAAATGAGAACTATGTTTTCATAAATGTAACTTATTTATCAGTTTCTTACTATATAAATCAATAACCAACTATATACACTTAACTTTGCATATGTTGTTGGGATAATTATATATATATATATATAATTTTCCACATGTCCCGCACTCACTGCTCCAGGTCTTGTAAACGCCTGGGTGCAAACCAGAATATATAGAACCTTGATGAAGTGCACTCGCAGGACTCAGTAGTATTTCTAATCGTGCTTATTTATTGAAGCATCAAATATTACAAAAAAAGTCGACGTTTCAGTCCTATCTGGACTTTTTTCAATATTTGATGCTTCAATCACTAAGCATGATTAGAAATACTAGTCCTGCGAGTGCACTTCAACAAGGTTCTACATATATATATATGGCAGCTACCCATGAAACTTGTATTCCCTCAGGCTCTCAATATAATACAAAATAACCTAACACTGTTTTAGAAGGTCAAACAGGCTAGTGTTAATTACACTCACAGTATATCATGGGTATATAGTGCTCAGTGGTGTGTCCGCTCAGTGTTGGTATCAACATCTCCTGTTCATTTTCTCCTTATGCAGTAAAAAAGGGGATTTCACTTCACTCTGACTGGCACAGGGATCAGGGTTGTAGTGGTATACATTTAGTAAAATGAAATAAAAGGCAGTATTGGTCCTACACGTTTTGTCTATAGCATATAAACTAATTCAGGGATCTTGGCAAAAGAAACATGTAACAAGGATCCGTTGGTGTGTGTGCTTTCTTCTTCAGCTGCATCCACTCTGTCTGCATCTTCTAATCCTCTTTTCCAAATGGCACTTCTGCCTCAGCTGGTGATTGGTTACTCATTCTTCCAATTTCCAGGTTCTTAAGTCACATAGATTAAGTACATTATGCACCCATGTCTTCATGTACATGCGAGTAGGTACCACACTTGTTAGTTTGTGTGTTATTTTTATTGTTTAACTTTTGATCTTTTGTTAAACAAATACACAAAAAAGGTATAGGTCAGGAAAGGGTACAGGGAAGCAGTGCCTTCTGGGTGTCCTCAAACTCTTATGGTGGTGAGTCAGTATGGAAAATATCAGGACAGAAAACAGAATATAGTGTAGTATATTCAATAGGTGGTGAGGTAAGATAAGAAAAATGCCACTTACAATTTTTAAATGTATTTTACTTTAACATGTACCCTCTACCCTTTCCTGACCCATACCTAGTTACTACCAGATAGAAGAGACCCTGGTTTGGGAAGTACCAGCTGCCATACCCAGTTCTAACAAGCTCTAGGAACCTCACCATCACATGTGAATACACAAAACTACTTTGCTCTCATGGATGCTGAAAGTGCTGAAAGTGTCTCTTTAAACCAAAGTTGTATTTAGTCTAAAAATATTAGTTTAAAAACTGACAACATACAACATGGTATAATATTACAATGATATCATGTTTATAATTAGGATAATAATAAATATAAAAATTGATCACATAAATACTATATGTTGGGGATAAAGAATATAAATGTTGCTTTGTCTTGTCGCGTTGTCATCCTTTTAGCTCACCATATGTGTCCTGACATTTGAACTGCAAACCCTAAAATATAAAAGTATACAGTTGAGATTAAATGAACACTGTCTGATATAATCTTTTATTTAACTTCTTTAAAAGAAAAATACTCCAACAATGATTCTGCACAGATAAAAAATACAATATGTATAACTAGTACATTGAATAATGGCAAAACACCACAAGTTTATATATCATGTAAGACAATATCTCTAATTCTAATCACTAGTCTAATTATTACAGTTTCTCTATATAGCTATCTAATGTCTGCAATTTAACTACTTTGATCAGTAACTAAGCATTAATTGTCCTTACTGCTTATTGTTCTAAAACACAGAGTAACATTTACAAGAATTAATTTCATAGGACATGGCTGTCCAACCTTAGGTTACCTGGGGGGCCGCATAAAAAACTAAATTGCCTTAGGGCAGACTGGGGCAGGTCCTCGGTCAGTGACACCAGGGCCCCCGAGGGTCTGACACCAGGAGGGAGCCCGGTGACTTTCTCTGTACGCTGCCGGGTGCAAGGCTCCTCTGTGCCGTTTGCCCGGGAGGGAGAGCACCCATCGCAGATACCGGTCTGCAGCTCTGCAGTGTGCAGAGCTGCAAACCATATGTCTTGTGAATTCTGGCCAATCTGACTGGAGCTCGTGAGATACATAGTCTGCAGCTCTGCATCCGGCAGAGCTGCAGACCGGCGGCCATGGCCAGCGGACCCCCAGGGAGCCCACCGGACCACCAGGCATTTAATCACCCCCTCCAAGTATTCCATCCCCCACAGCATTAACACTCTCCCTCCCAGTATTTCCCCCACACAGCATTAACCCTCTCCGTCCCAGTATACCTCCCACAGCATTAAACCCCTCCCTCTTAGTATTTCCCCCCACATCATTAACCCTCTCCCTAACAATATCCCTCCCACAGTATTACCCCCTTTCTCCCAGTGTTTCCCCCCACAGCATTAACCCTCTCACTCCCAGTATCCCGCACAGAATTATCCCCCCCCAGTATTCCCCTCCATCATACTTTTACTCCCCTACCTCACAGTATCCTCATTATTTTTGAATCACAGCGGCCCACTGAGAAGGTGAGTGTTTTGTCATCACCAAGTGAGCATGCTGGTTTAATGCGCAGAGCCCTGCTGAAGAGCTCTTGGATGAAAAAAGGTCATCTTGCAGAACAAGCAAATTTATTAACATGCTTGTGCAGTGTTTGCTTGTGACATGTCTCCGGTGTCTCCATAAGTGGGATACCAAAGGACAAAAGTGTTTAAAAAAAAAAAAAAAATGATCACCCCTTACAGCCCCAGAAATAAACACTGCACACACAACATGCACTACACACATACACTGCACAGAGGAAACTACATGCACTACACACAGACACTGCATCCACTACACGCACTACATGCACTACACACAAATATTGCACACTCTACATGCACTACACACGGACACTGCATCCACATTTCATCCTTGGACTGGCCCTGCTCCTACCATGCCACTATTGCCCTGACACACTTACCTCCACTCGCTCTGTCACATTGTCTCATTAAAACCATGTCATACTCGCCCTCTCTCATTTTCTCTCACAAACGCCCCCACCTGGTCCCATTTACCTTCTTCGCCCTGTTACACTCTTCCTGCCATTGGTACCTCTTTACTCACACAGTCACCAGCTGAAGACATACATCATACACACCTAATAATTTGGTAAATTATTTTTTAAAGCTTTTTTGCTCAAGCAAAATTTTTATTTTCAATAACCCCTTCACACCAGTACTTATGTATACACGACTGCCATGCTATGCAACCATACCTCATAATTGTGTATAAACAATTGGCATATTTGCAAATTCAATTTATTTATTGCAAATTAATTTAGTTTGTAAATTATGCTACAACTACAGCCAGAGAGCTCACAATGCAGGTGTACAAGAAGCTGCGGCACTGCAAGCTTCTGAACAATAAATGCAGAGACTGACTCTCTGTATACAGTGCTGCAAGCCCACCTTTCAATATACACATATAAAATACATAACATACAACCCTATTATTTTTCCTCTTTGTTTGTTAATGAGGCCTTATGTTTGAGTTTTGCCTAAGGCCTCATAAAGTCTACAGCCGCCTCTCTACATACAGATAACAATTTACAGATTTTTAGCCACTTCCCTGCTTCCATACAGTTTTGGTGCAGGTGTTGGCTTCCCTGGAGTTGAGTGGCATCTGGCTGGGTCTGATGGGAGTCGGGTCCAGACTCCAGGCTCTCTCTCTTTCACAGTCCTCCCCTCTATTCCTCTACCCTGCGCGGCTCACTGGTAAGCTGGAAGGAAGTATATTGTACTCAGCTCCTCCCAGCTTACCTTTACACAGAGCAGGGGACCCAGTAGCTGCGGCTGTTAAATGGCTATGGCACCTGACCGGACTCCGGATCAAAGATGGCCATCAAGTGGCCCTAATTGCAAGGGCCTCTGCAGCTTGTGCGCGGCGTTCCCTCTCCTTTGGTTCTTCAAAACCCAGTAGGTGGGTATTCTTTAAAAAAATTGTGTTAAAATGTCTGTATGTATATCGAATTCTTGTGAGTCACTACAATTTCTTAGGACTCTCATGAATTGCCCTTTCGTAATGTTGCGTAACCAGGGTGCAAAGTGGCAACTAGTTGTGTTGATGTAACTGTTTACATCGACATTTTTGAAATATGTTTTCCTTTGGATGTTACAATTTTCTATATAAATTTCTAAGTCCAAAAAATGAACCCTGGTGGGACTATGTACATAGATGAGAGATATATTTCTCTCATTACTGTTTAGAAAAGTAAGAAATAGTTCGAGGGACCCCACATCACCCTTTCAGATGAAAAAGATGTCGTCAATGTACCTACGATAGAGGACCAAGTTCGTGTCCCAGCCACTGCCCCCCCAAAGGAAAGACTTCTCCCAATATGGCATAAAGAGGGTGGTGTAGCTGGGCGCGAACTTCGTCCCCATCGCATTCCCTACCAAGTGTAGGTAGTAGGATGCCTCGAACCAAAAATAATTATTATACAAAATTAATTTAATCCCTTCCAAAATAAAATCCTTTTTTCAATCTGGTATAGAGCTAGGAGACAAAAAATGTTCTACAACCTTGCAGCCCAAATGATGGGAGATGATTGTGTACAAACTGCTAATATCACATATAGCCAATATTATGGTTAAAAAGGTTTTTTAGAAAACATCCAGTTAAAGACAAATATGAGGAAATGGCCATAAGTAATTTCATCCATACGGAACTAAAAAATAAATCAAAATTCTTTCCGAAAGTTGAGCTAAGTGGCGCCATGCAGGTATTTGATAATCTAATAATGGGAGAAGTTAGAAGAATTGGAAATACCAGAGAAAGAGACAGAATAACAATTTAAATTTTGCAGAAAGAAAGGCCCTAATGGAACTAAAAATGGACCAAAGTGTTATTATTAAATCGGCTGATAATGGGGGGGGGGGGGAGTAGTCATTCAAAGTAGAGAAAATTATGTTAAAGAAATTCTAAGGCAGTTGAAGCATTCTGTAACATATAAAAAGCTTGTGAATAATCCATCACAGAATATCAGAATCCTATATAAAACATTAATTGACAAAGGAAAAACATTAAAAATCCTTAATGAGAATGGATATAGAAATTTTCAAAATCCCTGTCTTTTATACCCTGCCTAAGATCCATAAAAAATCCACTAACCCACCCGGTAGGCCTATAGTGGCAGGAGTAGACTCTCTCCTGAGTCGACTGTCAGAATACATTGACAAACTACTACAGCCCTTAGTGGTTTCACAGCCCACCTATTTGAAGGACTCGACTCAACTAATTAGGGAATTACAAAACATTAAATGGGTTGATGGTTGTGCATTGGCTACATATGATTTTAGCAATTTGTACACAATCATCTCCCATCATTTGGGCTGCAAGGCTGTAGAACATTTTTTGTCTCTTAGCTCCATACCGGATTGCCAAAAGGATCTTATGTTGGAGGGGATTAAATTAATTTTGCATAATAATTATTTTTGGTTCGAGAGATCCTACTACCTACAATTTGTAAGGACTGCGATATATTAGACCAGAAAGACTTAGGAGTGACGGGAATGTTTGAAAACAGAAACCTGGTTTTTATTATGGTAAAATGTGCCCAGAGTGCAAAAAAAACCAGCAATAAGAAAGACACTTTAACCAATTTTAAATTATATACTACATGTGAAATTTTTAAGATAAAAAGCACTTTAACTTGTCACTCCACAAATGTGGTGTATCTTCACTGGTGTCCCTGTGGGCTCCAGTATGCGTGAATGACCACTAGGAGTCTTAAACCCCGCATATTGGAGCACATGGGAAACATCCAGAGGGGATACACAAAACATAGTGTGTCTGCACATTTTTCGGACAAGCACAATAATGACTCTTCTCTCTTGGGTTTTATGGCTTTTTCCCAAAGAATACTAATTGGAGGGGGGAGGACAATTTTAAAGAACTTAACAAAATTGAAAGTCGGTGGATTTTCAATCTGGACACCATGTCCCCTAGAGGACTTAATATTAATTTTGAGTTTATTCATTTACTTAGATTTTTTGAGTGTCCAGTATGATAGTCTTATCCTCCCCCCACCAGATAAATTGGTGTCTAGAGTTTACCTTGGACCGATTTTTTTTTTTTTACTATTTTTATCCTGTTTGTTATATTGTTTTATATGTAGTATTTTATATATTTTTATTTTTATAATTTTACAGTATAGATATCTATTAATATCTAATGGTATACATCATGATATAATATTACCATTTTATTTTTGATATGTCTTTTGCTCCTTTATTATGTGGGATTTGTTCATGTAACATATAAAGATCATTGTTTTATAATATATGATGTATTTGTAAAAATCTTTTTCCCGCATGTGGGTAAAGTCTCTTTTAATATATTACAGTTTTAACATGCCATTTTCTTTTTTTTCTGCTATACATATACCATAATTGTTGTGTATAAGGGCATTTTTGCCCTCAGTTATAATGACAATATGTGCTTCTGAGGAAAGAGAATATCGGCAACACACTGCACGCCACGCGATGACGTCATACCGGAAGCGACGTCACGTCGGCAATAAGGAAATGCATGTCAGCTGATGAGGACCGGAACAGGATATAAAAACAGACGCAACAGAGTTGTGGACAGGCACTGAGGAAGGCTAATAGCTGAAACGCGTCTGCTATCTATTTTTACTACTTGAATTTGGACTACATGGACTTTTGGCTGTGATTTCTGTGTTTATACACTGTTTTATTTTATGTCCTTATATTCTTTTTAATAAGAAGAAATAAATAGTTATTTTACTTCAACTATCCGGTATTCTGTCCTGGTACTCCATCGTTTAGCCTGTATAGGCACCCTATATGCTGACTATATAGAACCTGGCACGGCTCTATCTTTGTGAGTTTGATTCTACTTATTTATTACTGTTAGCCCAATTCCCCTGATCTGTGTGTGGTCAAAACATTGGACTCAGAAAGAAGTCAACACTTCCTGTACCCAGCAGAGTTACCGAGCAATACATCGGACCAAAGGGGAGACAAAGGTAGCCAGTGGCTGGGCGCCACAATGTGAGTGTATAGGATTGTTTGTGTTTGTATCTGTTACTGCCTGAGTGTGTATACACCCTGTTCCAAATTATTATGCAAATGATATTTTTCTGATTTACCTAAATACTTGATGTAAATAACAGTCAGCATAATTCTCATGTTATCAACTATTAAGAGTACAATTCAAATTTTATTGAACAAACCTCCTAATGATAACAGTATTTTTTCAAACATAAAAAACTTACAATGCACTGTTCCAAATTATTATGCACAGTAAGTTTCAAAACACTTTATAGGTTGTAAAGAACTGAAAATTGTCATTTGTTGTGTTTGCAGCATATTTACTGAAATCAAAAGCTATTTCAATAAAACTTATAAAAACATTTTAACTTTTTAAACATTTTAACAGGTCATGTTACATTTTAACATAGCACCCTTTATTTGATAGCAGCTTCACAAGTCTTGCATCCATTGAACTTGTGAGTTTTTGGACAGTTCATGCTTGAATTTGTTTGCAAGATATCAGAATATCCTTCCAGAGCTGCTGTTTTAATGTAAACTCCCTCCCACCTTCATAGATCTTTTGCTTGAGGATGCTCCAAAAGTTCTCAATAGGATTGAGGTCAGGGGAGGATGGAGGCCACACCATGACATTCTCTCCTTTTATCCCCATAGCAGCCATTGATGCAGAGGTATTCTTTGCAGCATGAGATAGTGCATTATCATGCATGAAGATGATTTTATTACGGAAAGCATAGTTCTTTCTTCTGTACCAGGTAGAAAGTGGTCAGTCAGAAACGCCACATACTTTGCAGAGGTCATCTTTACACCTTCGGAGACCCTAAAGGGGCCGACCAGTTCTTTTCCCATAATTCCGGCCCAAAACATGACTCCAGCACCGCCTTGCTGATGTCGCAGCCTTGTTGGAACAGGGTGGCCGTTCACTAACCAAATCACTCTGGAGGACTCTACACTTTGATGTCCGTAGGACTCCAGAGGCACCAGCAGCTCAAATATCTGTTTGCTGCTATGTAATGGTATTTTAGCAGCTGCTCTCTTGATCTGATGCATGGATCTGGCAGAAATCTTCCTCAATGTGACTTTATCTGCACAAACCCGTCTGTGCTCTGAATTAGCCACAAATCTCTCAATAGTGCGATGATCTCGCTTAAGTTTTCGTGAAATATCTAATGTTTTCATACCTCGTCCAAGGCATTGAACGATATCAAAGAGATCCTTTTTCTTCCCCATATTGCATGAAAATGGTGTTCTGCTTAATAATGTGGAACACCCTCCTTTAGTAGTTTTTCCTTAAGTTTGGCTCACCTGGCAATCTAATTATCACAGTTGTCCGAGATTGTTTTCAGTGATCAAAAGAGCCCTGAGAAACAATGCCATCCATGAGTTAAACTGAAAAACAAATATTTAATCTTTGTGACACTTAAATAGAATTTGCATAATAATTTGGAACAGGGTGTATGTGTGATAGTGTGTATCCGTATAACAGATTGTGCATATCTGTATTTTAGTGTGTATATCTGTAATGTTGAGTGTATTTGTGTAACAGTGTGTGTATGTGTGCTTGTATCTGTGAGTATGTGTAACAGTTAGTGTGTATCTGTGAGTGTGCATATGTATAATAGTGTGTGCATATATGTGTAACTGTGTGTGTCTATCTGTGAGCATGTGTAAAATTTTGTGTTTTTCTGTGAGTGCTTGAGTGCATATATGTATAATAGTGTGTGTATCTGTAAGTATATATAACCGCTTGTGTGAGTGAGACGGAATTGTTCAGACATTCAAGATTATGAACTGCAAGCCAACCACATAAAGAATAAACTCATACAAAAGGAATACCCATACAAAAAGAAATAAAACTGGCTAGGAATAAAGAAAGAAACCTACTGCTTATGGATAAACCGAAAAATATCCAAAATAAGAATTTCCAAAGGGGTTTTAGAACAAGATATAATAAAGATAATTGGAAAATAAAGAGAGGTCTGGCCAAACATTGGCCCATCCTCCTGCAGGACCCTATACTGAATACCATTTTGCCAAAGAATCCTAAAATTTTTTAAAGAAGAATTGTAATCTAAAATATATTTTGTGCCCTAACTACGTAAAAGGTATCCAAACTACTAAACAAGATAAAGACCCAAGAGATCCAGGTTTTAGAGGATATGGTAAATGTAAAGCCTGCCAAACTATGAATTTGGCAAAACCATGTCTTTTGAGAATAATTTAACAGGAGATGAATTTCCAGTTAGGACATGGATTGATTGCCTCACGGACTTTGTTGTTTATTTACTGCAGTGTCCGTGCATTAAGCAATATGTGGGACGCGCCAAACGGTGCTTTAAAGTGAGGATGCTGGAACATGCCAATTACATCAGGAAAAAACGTAGGCCCCATTTGGATCCAGTTCACTGTAACTCCTGTCCGAGTTTTGACTTTAATAAGTTTATCTGTATAGGAATTAAAAGAATCGAGCCCCGTTGGAGAGGAGGGGACAGATTAAGATCTTTATGCCAAAGGGAGACTTTTTGAATTCATAAATTGCAGATGCTGGAACCGAATGGTTTGAATGTAGATATTGACCTGGTCTGTTTTTTGTAAATGAGATAAAGCATATATGGACGGATGTATCCCACTGGATGGGCTCATATGATTTAAATATACTTAGGGATGAGAAAAAAAGTTTTTTCCCCCAATATCATATATATATATATATATATATATATATATATATATATATATATATATATATATATATATATATACATACACACACACACATTTCTTTCTCCACTATTAGATGCACTTGAAGATTTACAAATTAGCACAACTAACTTAGTATATATATATATATAAAAAAAAAAAATTGTAAAAACATTTTTTTAGATTGTTTTGATTTTTTATATAATTTTGTATTATGTAAAGTAGTAGCATATGACCACTATCTAAGTCCCTGTGAGCTGGGAGATAATGAAATTCAGTTTAATACATGAAAGTAATAATTAAAAGTAATATTGGATTATGGAGTGATAGCATCCAACCAATAATGATTTTGAGGCGGTCAGGTGGGAGAATTCATACTAACATGCATATATGTAAATAAAAACATATATAGATTATAATTTACTGCACTGGTTTAAATAATAAAGATGTTTTATACCTAGGCAGATTGCAATTTATTTTATCTGTAACTTCGTTTCCACCTAAATAGAGACTTGCAAATGAATCCATTATATTTCAGACACAATATAGGATTTTGTGATCAATGAAGCTGTATCCCATATTTTCTGTACTATATCGTTTTTTGTATGAGGTCACCAACAGGGAAGGGACCTTGGGAAGCTGCACACATAAGTTAAGTAGCTCTATCCTCATTATACACTTGTATGGTATGAAGGGATAAATTGCCAATTGTTCACCAATCTGTCTAAATCTATGTTAGTGAGCAATTCTCCTTTGCCGAGTTAATTCGTATAACCTCACAGGTGGGACATATCAAGATAGTGATTACACAGCATGATTATTGCACAGGTGTGCCTTAGGCTGGCCACAATAAAAGGCCACTAGAGTGTATAATTTTGTTCAGTGTAGTTTAAAAAAAAATGTTCTTCCCGAGATCTTCATCTGTCGCTGGCCAAGTAGCTACCTTTATGTTGCTCACATCTAACAAAACCAAGCTGGAGTGGGTGGGCAGTTTTGGTAATTTTATCCCTCAACCAAAACACCTGGGTAAGGGTCATTGGAAGACAGTTTGCTAGGTTGCCCCACTAATTACTTGTGCTAATCCCAAACTTGGTAGCCATAGGTGGTACTCAATAGAAATTGTTGCTTATTTTTTCCTTTTTTATCCTTCCCCTCATTATTTAGGTAAGGGATGGGGCCGCACACTCACCCCCATTTTTTACCTCTCTTCCTCTAATCTTGGATTAAGAGCATATTGAAGACTTCTTCCTGGGTTCCCTTTACTTACATTTCAGGTGCAGGAATCGGGTTGACAGTATGGCTGTCAGCATACTCTTATAACCTATTCATTTACCTGCCATCCATGGGTGAGAGGTTTGGGGGACCATTTAATAACCTCTTCTTGTAAACCCACTGAGTGTCAGAAGAAATAAAATAGTACAAAATGATTTGGTTGAATCCAAATTTTAATGGATTGACTGAATGGATATATTTTATCCCTTCCCATTGCACTTAGTACAGAATCTAGTACCTTCTAGCCAGCCTGATACAGAATCTGAATTTAGGTGTTAGTTATAAGTCATATATGCAGGCATTGCCATAGATAACATTGTACTTTCAATGCATGTTTTTGTACAGACACAGACCTTACCTTTCCATCATGAGGTATGTTATCATACAGCACCAATGGATCTTTCCTGTAGCGTCCTAGAGATTGATCATATACAAAATTTGAAAAAATGACTACTATATTTATCTATTCAACATTAGATCTATTCTTTGCAATATATTACATTTGCCTTACTAAACCGAACATTTATAACATGGCTATATAAATACAGAATGTATTATTAAAGCGGCACTGTCACTGTCTGAAGACTGCACTAAATTTGCAGCAGTAACTTCTCTGCTGGGAGTCTGGCTGCCATGGGGGTGCCGGTAATGGAGAGATTACTTACCTAAACCTGTCGCTCGTGGTTGCCGCCATCTTTCTTTCCCTGTTCCTTTTCATGCACAAATGTACACCATTGAGATCTACGAATTGACTCTTAGACTCTGCCCTGGGACAGCAATAGGAAAAAAAAATTCTACTTTGACTCTGTATATCTCTTGACTAGGTTAGAATTTCAGTGAAATTCCAACACAGTCATAATGAGTATTTCATAAAGATTCTATCTTTATTATACTATATTTTTTTTGGTGGTGTCGGGGGGTTGGAGACAGTGCCGCTTTAAAACACTGATTATGTTGATATTCACTTAAGTATGCACTCTCTACCATTTACTTTTGTCACTTAGTACATTTCTGTGAAGAAATAAATCACCTCTTACCTTGATTATTCTTTCTCACTGGATTTACGTATCTTTTGTACAGCAGGAAAGTTGCACTTATGATAAATACAATTCCACAGGCGGAGCCAGAAATTATTCCAGCTGCAGTTGTACTGATTTCTATTGCTACATTTCTACCTATAAATTCAATGCACAAAGAATTTTTTTTTTTTTTAGAAAATAATAATGTAACAAGAACAGCTGAGTTATAGAATTAAATGGGCACCTAAGTGCCTAAGTTCAAATCAATATAGCAAGTAAATATTTGTTTTATGCACTATGTACTAAACACTAAACATTTTTGTGATTTAAGCAATGTGAAAATTTCATCATTAGAATTTATGATCAGAATTATATATGTAGCACCAACATATTCAACAGCGATGTCCCGTAGGAAAAACAAAATAAGCAATTCTAACAAAACACATTTGATATATGGAACAGTGGGTCTCTGCTCAAACTAACATACTGTAATGACACTTACCTGCTCCACGATGTCATGTGGTCCGAACGCTCCACATGGCCTCATAGCCTGAAAGTGGGAATAGCGAATTTAGATATACTTACCAATTTTGCACTGGCAAACTGCTCCTCTTCCAGGTTCTCGCTGGTCAGATTCACCAGACAGCCACTACTTTCTTGTATTAATTTGGATGCTGCCCGCTCGAATGGTGGGTCCTCATGTAGTTTGAATGCACATGATGTCACACTCACCCTTAAAGTGGCCACATCATCTAGGTAACCTCATTCTCATATTTTTTGAGTTGCAGAGTTAATGTGGACCAATCAGAATATGTCAATAAGCCTATATAATGCTTATTGAGTCCTTATTGAGTGCCCTATCGTGATTTGTGCCCTGGTACACGTTTAATGCTTATAGCAAGTCTCTATTGATATTCTGATATTGACCTTGGCTTGTATTTGAATTTGTGTATTTCTGGTATCCTGACCCCGGATTGTTTATTCATATATCCATATTTCTATAATTTTGACCTTGCCTATTACTGACTTTGTCTTTGTCTTTCTTATGTTAAGTCCGGCCACTTTAAAGCTTAGTAATATGTCTATACCTCTATTTGTGAAATTCCTCATTTTCTGTGAGTTAGGGTTGGGATATATATTGAAGGGTCAACTGAAACCGACAATGGTAACAACTTACACTTACATTCTATAAGGATGAGGGAAAACACACCAAGAGAGGTCAGGGAGATGAATAACAAGATGGGAGTGGTGTTTTGGAGGAGGGTGTATTGTAGATGGTAACAGAGAACTAGATGAGGTGTTAAGGGATGAACAGATATAATTCTTTCAAGAGGTGTGTTTCACAAGAGCCTGCAGGCACATAATTCTCAAATCGTTTTTTATACTAACAATAGCCATAATCTAAAGAATTAGCACTACATTTTTTTTAATCATTTTGATGTTACTACTAGGACCATTTTTAGAGTATTATATGTTTGATCAATTGCTTTACATGATTAATTTAGATTTGACTATCTTTTAACCTTTCTATAGACTATTGATTCTTGTTTTACTTTTCTCAATTTACTAATATTTAGCTTTTATGTGTCCCCTTTTCTCTCCCCTAATTTTTTTCTTTTCATCATATTCATTTTTTTTAAATGATATTTTATTGAGTTATTCTCAGTTTTATACAACTTTTCCAATGTATTTGTTAAAGCAAAAGGGAAACAATCATATTTTGAGTATTCGGGTACAGTTACATTTACATTGGGGTGCATATGTGTAGGTGAGTAGGTTATTCATATGTATGCATTGGGTATCCCTCACAGGTTTAGGTGCCCTAGGGCCTTAGTGTCCTCCTGTTATTGTAGTGCTGTGTCTTTGCCGGTCATAGGTGTTTCGGGATCAGAGTTAGTCCAGTGGCAGCGAGATCATCTAGGATCTGTGGGTGTGAGGATTGGCATTCAAACCACTATTACGGTTTCTGTTTCTTGGTGGTGAGTCTTGGTATGCTTGTGTTGCTGTGTTTGGTGGCGTCTCCGTGTCCATCTGTGCTGTGTGGGTTTGGTGTGTCCTCTGGTCGAGTCTGGGGTCGCAGGTTCAGCTTTTGCAAGAACTGGTTAGGGTCATCTCTGGAGGTTAAGGTGAAGCTTGCTCCCCCCTTTTCAGCTAATAATGATCCCTCAGTGCCCCACCGGTACCTGATGGTCGAGTCACGTAGCCTTCTGGCCATGGGTGCCAGCCTTCTCCTCTCCGCTAGGGCGGAGAATGGGATGTCAGCGTAGATTGCTATTTTGTGGCATTCATGTGGCACTGTCCCCATTTCTTTGGAATGCTGATTTTACCGCTATATCCCTTGTCACCGCTATGACGTCCCTGGGTGCTTCACTTGGTGCTGCGGCTGCTTTTTTAACCCTGAACACTGATGAGATCAGTGGTGAGTCGGGGTTGTTTTCAGTGCCCATGGTTGTCAGCATGTTGTTGACCCACAGCAGGAGTTTCACGTTTTCAACTGACTCTGGGATGCCGCTGAGTTGCAGGTTTCTTCTCCTGTGCCGGACTTCCATTGTTGTCACCACTTTCTGTAGCTGTTGCACTTGAGAGGTGAGTTCTATTAGCTTGTGATCTGTAGCCTGGGACTTTGCTTCCGTGGCGGTCTCTTTCAGCTCCAATTCCCGCACTTTTTGGTGTACTGCCCCCACTTCAGCCTGTACCTCTCGGAGGTCCTGCTTGCACACTTTCCTAAGGTCTATTAGGAGACGTTTAATGTCACCCTTTGTTGAAGGTGACTCGTCTTCTTCGGACCCAGACATGCCAGAAACTTCATCTGAGGAGGGTGGGTGTGAGCCAGCTCCGTCGGCCTGCGAGGCTTCTGATTCCTACGACTCATACAAGGCCTCAGGCGCCATCTTGGGCCTCTGTTGCGGCACCGGCTGCTCGAAGGAGAGCCGTATATCCGGCTGTCTCGTCAGTTCTTGACAGTGAGGCTTTTTATTTTTGCACCCCATACTCTATGCTTTGAGGGGTAGTTGTTTTCTTTGTATTAGACTGTAGTTTTCTGTTGGCTTGAGTCTTTATTCCCTGGTCTGTTACGGAGCTCTAAGGGAAGACGTCTGCTCAGCTTCGTGGTCAGCCACGTCCCCCCATTTTCATTTTTTTATAGGTAAGAGTTGCAAGAGTGTGGGAAAGGTGGATTTGGGTGAGCTCTGTGTTACTTCCCATAATATTAAAGGCATTAACAGTTTCATGAACCAATGAAAATAAATATCTCACGGTACTGATACAATTTTTTTTTTCATGAGACCCATTTTTCCAACAGCTCGGTTCTGAGCTACTAGGACAAATGTTTCCCTGTGCCACCGATAAGCATAAAATATTTTTCTATTCTATTTTAGAAGAATACCCTCTTTGAACTGCTTAGCTTGTCTAATCACCAAATTGAGCACTAACAATTTTATTTTAATGTATTTTTCAGTATGAAATCTAGTCCATGAACCCTCACTCACTATCAGTCATACTCCAGCTATGATGACCAACCTGTAAAATAAAGAATTCCTCTGCCTGAAGCTATTAATGACTCATAGAATACTTGCACATATTCTGAAAATGTAGCCTTACACCTGAGTTTAAAGAGGAAGTTTCAATTAGTTATATCTTTCCTGCAGTCAGGGAGGGGGGAATGTGTGAATAGACTCTACTATTTCACTGTTCCCATTACATTAACATTCCAAATATTGATAAAGATTGCTTAGGCAGTTTTAAATGCCTTTGTTTTACATATGATTTAACTGAATTTACTCTGTGTATATTATCCCCAATGCAGACATTCTTTGTACATTATCTTACCATTTTAGTAAGCTGTACTGCTAGTTCTGTGTTCAGTGTCCTTATAAATACCCATAAGCAATGTATTTAACAATGTTTATTTATCTAGTTTTGTATCTACTGTATGTGAGAAAAAAATTATATTTTTTGCATTTATACAACAACATTTCAGACCACGGCCTAAATGTAATATTGGTAATTGGTAATATTGGTGATTTAATATTTTTGGATACAATTTGCTAGATTTTATATTGTAAAAAATATTTTAATTATGGAATATTGTTATCTTTTTATACACTGGTCAGCCACAACAATACAACCACTGATGGGTGAATTGAATAACATTAATTATATCATTACAATGCATTTGTCAAGTGGTGGGATATATTAGGCAGTAAGTTAACAGTCAGTTCCTAAACTACATGTACTCGAGTCAAAAAAAAAAGGGACAGATTGTGATGGCTAGATGACTCGGTCAGAGCAGCCCCAAAACAATAGGTATTGGAAAGTGTTCCTGCTATGCAGTCGTTAATATCTACCAAAAGTGGTGCAAGGAAGGACAACTGGTGAACCCGTGTCAGGGTCATGGAAGTCCAAGACTCATTGATGCACATGGGAAGCAAAGGCTAACCCTTCTGGACTTATCACACAGAAGAGCTACTGTAGCTCTAATTGCTGAAAAACATAATGCTAGCCATGATAGAATGGTGTCAGTACACACAGTGCATTGCAGTTTGCTGCATACAGGGGTGCGTAGAAACAAACCAATCAGTCCCATGATGATTCCTGTCCACCTCCGAAAGTGCCTTTAATGGGGACATGAGATAAGGAACTGGACCATGAAGCAATGATCGAAGGTTGCCTGGTCTGATGAGTCAAGTTTTCTTTTAGGTCAAGTGGATGGCCAGGATAATGCACACTCCCACACTGCAAATATTGTTCAGGAATGTTTCAAGGAACATGACAAAGAGTTCAAATTCCCTCCAAATTCCCCAGATCTCAAACATTAGAACTTGCAGGACTAAAAGGATCTGCTAATGTCTTGGTGCTACATACCAGAGGACACATTCAGAGGTCTTGTGGAATCCATGATTCGGCCTTCAAAGCTGTTATGGTGCCACGAGGGGAGACCTACACAATATTAGGCAGGTGGCTCATCAAGCTTGATAAAGACCTGGATGCATGTCGAAACGTTGCGGTATCCTTAAAGCTGCTTAACGCATAAGAGTGAGTTCCTGAGATTTTTTTATTGTCTTACACTATCCTTACTTGTGTCATTTTTTGGCTCTGAAAGATCCTGTCTCAAATGTATGTTCTTGATCACACACATTCTAGAATCACCAGTGTGCTGTGGACCAATATAATTCAACCCTGAAGTCTGCACACGTGTTTCCTATTGTTCTTTACCCTGTTATGGTTTCTTTACACCTAAGAGTACTTCTATTTCTTTACACCCAAGAGTGTCTATTGATTATTTGGTTACTGACTCCAGCTTTTTTTTTTTTACTATTCTTGTACTCCTGGCTTCTCCCTCAATATTGTGTCTTAAGCTTGTGACCTTAGCTTGTTCACAACGACTTTTTGTCTGTCTTTAGACATTCTGCTTGCCTATCCTTAATGTTAACCTGGCCACTGTAAGGACCGGTATGCACTTCTATCCTGTCTCTGTCTGAGTTTGCATCTTAAGGTTATATTAGTCTTGACAGCAGTTAAGACAGTCAAGGTATATTGGTATGGTTTACATATAATGATGAGGGAAAGTAAGTGGACTCTACAAGACTCTATGCTTTGTAATCCAGAAGTGAGGGCTAAAATATTTTAAAAAGAAGCTGCTCTTTTTTATGTCATTGTGTTTGATGGCATCTCTAAGTCAACATCCTAGGTTCATTTAATTCTATTATATTCAGGGTGTCCTGACGATGGCGTATTGAAACGCGTGTCAAGCTATTATTTTCACTTACATCTCCTTTACTAGGTAGCAATTTTTAGCACTATGTTTTTGTATATATAGCAATTTAATTAATCTTGACCCAGGTATGGAAAGTATGGCTTAGGTAGGTACTATTGGATTAACCCACCGTGCCGAGTTATGGCAAAGTTATCTTTATTTTTGTCATGCATATGTAAACAAAACAACTTGCATTGTCACAACAACAAATGCAAGAAAATGGAGAATAAACAATGAAACATGTTATGTGAAGTTATGAACATTGAAAGAGATCACATTGTTTCATTACGATGAGACTGGCAACATGTTATCCGTCCCGGGTCCAAGTTAGGATGCTCAGCCCACACCAAGACTCGACAACAGGCTAGTGCAGCCCTGAGGAGTTACCAGGCAAGGACACTGTGTGGTATCCTTGCAGCCCCAGGCCGTGTGAAGGGCCCGCACTTTGAGACCACAGACTTGGGGGCTTGTGACAGAGTCCACGTCCTTCCCAGATGGGATGTGACAAAAGCCCTAGGTGTCACTTCTGCCTTTGTGGCCAATGCAGTGGGCGATTTCCCCTGTTGGCCCTCAGCCTAGGTAGGCCATGTCTGCGTGGAGCTGTAGCTTGTTGGGTACTTGCGCCCTAAGGGGATACCGGTGCCACATGCTCATCTCCTCCTTGTGTTCCCTCATGGGTCCATGCTGGTGCAGCCTCGTTTCGCGCCTCCAGTTGCGCCCAGAAGCAGGTAAAAGCTCATCCAATCATTGTTCCAATCCGGCAAGTAAGGCTAGTTCAGATGGCAACCTGTTCTGTGCTGTTAAGGAAGGTACATCCACCATTTTAAGGGGAAGCGTAGCGGTCTGAGCCCACATAGCAGCTGCCGTCTGTGGATTTCAGAGGTAAGTGGGGCAGTCAGTGGGGACAGGGATAACCCCCGCTGATCCAAAAGGGGGAGGATAGGACCCGAAGCTATCGCCTCTGATGTGCTTGGTATCAGTGACTAGGCCGCAAACCTCGAGGTATCTCAAAGTTGACCGGAGCTTCAGAGTTTCTGTAGTTAGGCCATTAAGCTTCCTCCCAGGCAGTCTTTTACACAATATGGCACAGCTTTTAGCTTCACATATGTGTAGAAACCGTTATTAATCATCTCATAAAGACAAAGGCTTGAGGAGCCAAACAGATATGCAACTGATCAGCTTGGCAGTCCTCCTAGCCCCCCAAATAACCTCTTTTAATAATATCTACCTTTACCCTGTGGGTGTGGGTGTTCGCAAGTGTTGTGGGTCTGTGATGCATTGGAGTGCAGTGTGGAGGCTTTGTTTATTTTGGACAACTTGTCCCCATCTAGCCAACCGGCATCCAAATCGGTAATATATACCCCAGCACTACCCCCACCTTCTTTTCCTTTTCTTTTTCCCATAGTCCTGGTTACTGTTGTAACATCTGTCCCTAGAGCCAATAAAGGTAGGGACTCCTTCCCCCTCTGTATTGACAAAGCTTCAATTCAGAACCCCTTTAATATAAGGGATTCCTTCTTTTCATAGTTGTGCTTATTTTGAATAGAGATATATCTATAGCAATACAAATGTATCTATCTATCTATCTAATATATCCTGCTATTCCACTACTATGAATCGTACGCCTGTGAAATTTGTCCATTATGGAAAGCTACCAGTATCAACAGAATATAACTTATATATAAGTTTAGGTAGAGATTCACTTGTTTTATTCCCCTTATACTCATATATGCTCATTTATTATGTTAAATTAAAATAAATATAAATGTAAGAATATATATTTTCATTCCACTTATTGTGTATTGTTGGAAATATAGTTTTCTAGTGATATAGAATGGCATTTTTAGTTTTCATTACAGTTGTTCTCAGTAACAGTCATTAGGTTCTATATACTATAATGTATGTTTTTAAATAACTTGTGGTGACCGTTCTATTAATAAGTGTTCTGTGAGTGTGATCATGATCAGAATATATACTTACATTTTTCAGTTACTGTGTAGATGTCACTAATCGTCTTACTGATCACATTCTCAGCCTCACAATAATAATCTCCTGAGTGTGATTGTTTGATACTGGAAAAGGTGAGAGTCCTGTTATCATTGGATAGAGTTATATCAGAAGGGAGTCTGTCATTTCTGCGGCCCCACACGATATTTTCAGCATTTTCTGTCCGACAAGTGAGGGTAACCATGTCATATTCCAGGGAGCTTATGGCCCTGACCACAGGTTTAGTGACAGGTACTGTAAAGGAAGGAACAGGAAATCATAAGGTTACACACAGACATCGAGTCATTTCCAATTTTGTTACTTTCTACTTTGCTACTTTTTACTGACCAGTCGCTGCTTTATTTTGGCTCAAAAATAAATAAATAGGGAATCAAGATGTGATTCCGCCCTATTCAGTTATTTATTGTTTGGATATGGTTTGATGTGGTTATACTGATGAAAGTCTTAGTACAGAATAAAACGATGTGATTTAACCTATTCTAAAGACACATTTCTTTGATCAACAAGATCAGTTATTTCCTTTCTTTGTGGATATGTATATAATTATGTTACTTGACTGGCTGTCGTATTAAAGAGACAGAAGAGGAAATCACACATATTGTAAGTAAAACCAAAATGTTAAATGAAAATATTACAATTATACATGTCCAATGCTTTGTTACACATTGTATTGCTTTTGGCTTAATTAATTAACTATTTTGTTCAGTGTTGTGCAACGTTTGAAGGAGAAAGAAAAACATTTACTTTATTCAGCATCTTAACCTGCCTCCTTTGTCTCCTATTTAATTTTCTTTCTGCTGGTTTCTATATTTGCCCCCTTTTTCTTTTTCTCCCTTATAACCTGATCTTATGCGCATCCAGCTTAACCCGATGAAGTCTATAATGAATGCCACAGCAAGGCTGATCTTCCTCTACTCCCGCACCTCCCATGCATCTTCCGTTTGTCAGTCCTTACATTGACTTCCAATAATTAAAAATTCTGGTCCTTGCTTACAAATCTCTTCATGACACTGCTCCTGTCTACCTATCCTCACTAATCTACACATATGACCCTAGACTGCCAAAGACCTGCATCTATGTTCTGTTGTATCCGAACTTCTGACTCTCTCACCTTTAAGCCTTTTCTGGGACTTTAAACCTACATTTCCTGCTCCATTAGACTCTCATCAAGTCTCCATTTCTTAAAAAAATAAAAATTAAATCTCACTTGTTCAATCAAACTGTTAATAGCATTCCCTCACAAACCCACCTTCTCTTCTTCAACTGTGTCATCTAAAAAACATTGTAAACTGAGCTAGCAACCTACTTTCCATTACATAAAATACATATTACCCTTACTTCTTTTGTCATTTTAGCCCACCTCCTTTAGAATGTAAATGCCAAGGTAATGAAGAGATTTGAAGCAAGGACCAGAATTTTTAAACAAAATTAAAGGACCACTCTAGGCACTCAGACCACTTCAGCTTAATGAAGTGGTCTGGGTGCCAGGTCCAGCTAGGGTTAACCCATTCTTTCGTAAACATAGCAGTTTCAGAGAAACTGCTATGTTTATGAAAGGGTTAAGCCTTCCCCCTGTTTCCTCTAGTGGCTGTCTCATTGACAGCCACTAGAGGCGCTTGCGTGCTTCTCACTGTGATTTTCACAGTGAGAGCACGCAAGCGTCCATAGGAAAGCATTGTAAATGCTTTCCTATGCGACGGGCTGAATGCGCGCGCAGCTCTTGCCGCGCGTGCGCATTCAGCCCAGGAGGAGGATCGGAGGCGGAGAGGAGGAGGAGAGCTCCCCGCCCAGCGCTGGAAAAAGGTAAGTTTTTACCCCTTTCCCCTTCCAGAGCCGGGCGGGAGGGGGTCCCTGAGGGTGGGGGCACCCTCAGGGCACTATAGTGCCAGGAAAACGAGTATGTTTTCCTGGCACTATAGTGGTCCTTTAACGGTAAAAGTGAGTGGGCAATTGATGACCCATCATTTTTTTGCAGGATGTTTATTGGCTCTTCAGACAGGATGTGTGGGAAATCTTTGTTCTTCTCAGGATGAAAGGGGTGAATGGGTTGTCAAAACCCCACTGATTTTTTTTTCCTTAAATTTCCATCTTAAAATATTGCTGCACTCTTCCCCATTATTCATTAATACAAGGTTGCAAAAGGAAAAACAATCATCATTATAAAATACATCTTTGCAAAAATGGCTGATATTGCATAGTCATTAGGATAGGTAATATTGTAGCCAGTTTTGCATCACAACACATTCATATGCACATTATCCCACCTTTTTTTTGTCTTGTCTGAATGTTTTTCAGAATTTTTTTGGGGAAAAAAACAAATGTTCCTGCCATGCAAAAGCCTAATTTCAGCTTAATCTTCCTCAGAGACAGGCAGATGCGGTAAATAATGTAAACTGATTTTTGCATGTAAATTTATTTAACTCCAGACTATTTACCAGCTAGCAATGCTTGCAGACAGTATGTAAATGGGGCGGGGGGAGGGGGGGGACAAAAAAACCTGCATGTGTGTTAACTTTGTGATGGCTGGTAAGCTCTTTGTAGCCAGCCACTACTGCAAAAAGTGAAAAAAGAAAAAAAAACCATAAGGGGTCATTATGACACTATAATATAATAATAAAATGTTCTTATGCACGCAGCCATGCCTGGTTAAAGGAACACTATGGTCACCTAAATTACTTTAGCTAAATAAAGCAGTTTTAGTGTATAGATAATTCCCCTGCAATTTCACTGCTCAATTCACTGTCATTTAGGAGTTAAATCACGTTGTTTCTGTTTATGCAGCCCTAGCCACACCTCCCCTGGCTATGATTGACAGAGCCTGCATGAAAAAAAAACTGGTTTCACTTTCAAACAGATGTAATTTACCTTAAATAATTGTATCTCAATCTCTAAATTGAACTTTAATCACATACAGGAGGCTCTTGCAGGGTCTAGCAAGCTATTAACATAGCAGGGGATAAGAAAATCTTAATTAAACAGAACTTGCAATAAAGAAAGCCTAAATAAGGCTCTCTTTACAGGAAGTGTTTATGGAAGGCTGTGCAAGTCACATGCAGGGAGGTGTGACTAGGGTTCATAAACAAAAGCATTTAACTCCAAAATGGCAGAGAATTGAACAGTGAGGCTGCAGGGGCATTTTCTATACACCAAAACTGCTTCATTAAGCTAAAGTTGTTGAGGTGACTATAGTGTCCCTTTAAAAAAAAATGGAGGTGAGCCTGTAAATGAAAATAGGGGAACCTGACTACATTGAAACAATAAGGTTAAACATGTCACTGCCTACCCATACCTCTATGGGGATATGTTGGGGATATGTTGTGTTTTGGGGTACTTATGATACTTTATATAAATGTGTGTTTTTTTTTCTGCCTGTGGATAATTAAGTTAATGCATTAACTACATTAATTATATCACAGGCAGAGGGAGGGATTGTTTAATGTATGTGAAAGTGTCGTTTCTTGTTATATTGCTTTTATTGGCTTACATGTTTTGTGTCTCGGTGCCCAACTAGGTCCACCTGGGCGTCACCTTTGCTGTAAAACTTGTATAAAAGACCAGTTTGTGCCATTAAACCTTCTGTTCTTGTTTGATCCTCAACAAGTAGTCTTGTCTTGTGATTGCAGGGGAACTGCTATAATCACACTGGGGATTGCTATACTCTGTATACTCCCCTGGGCTCTAATCACTTACCTCTTTTAAGAGCTGTTCCTGTTATGGTCTCCTTGAGGAGAGATCTCTCACACACGGTCCTGGATGTCAGAGGTTGATCCAAGGTGGAAGGAAGATGGTGAGATTCCAGTTAAGCTAGGGCGGTTGGGGAGTATGCAGTGGTTGTGGTGTTAGGTGCGGTGCTTATAGTCCTTGGTGTCAGCTAGGAAGCATCCGTTAACGGAGGTACCCAGTCGGGGTGCATGGTGATCACACATGTGTTTTGGAGGTACTTTCAGGATGTTGTAAAAATTTATGTTTTCTGTGCCTGGAGATAATTGTGTTTAGTACAGTTCCTGACTCCATAATCTCTCAAGTATAGGGGAGGGATTACCCTGTTTTGTGTGGGAGTATCCTGGACCTGAGAGCCAATGTAATTATGTGTATTTTTTACTGTAGTCTCCTCTCCAGAGGGGAATACCCCTGGAATATGTATCCGGAAACTCCTTGCATGGGGAGTTTCCTATAAGGCTACATGTGGCTCCCATTCAAGCAGTTCCTCTTCACCCTCAACATAGAGCCTTGTCTCATGTATGGAGGGAACAGCTATATTCACTCTGGGGATTGCTATACTTATTATACTCCCTTGGATTATAATCACTAGCTCTTATAAGAGATAGCCTGTTTTACTCTCTGGATTGGGAGAGGTCAACCCACTGGAAGCTGGATCCTAGTCTTGGGTCCAGGGTGGGTGGAGTACAGCGAGACCCCCAACCAAGCAGTAACGCTGGCTGCGGGGTTTACGGTGGTTATGGTGTATGGTGGAGTGCTTGGAGTACTCGGTGAGCACTAAGAAGCATTGATTGGCCGAGGAGCCCAGTTGGAGTACCAGGCGGTCTGCCACACTACTGCCCCACCTATAAGCGGCAGGTAGCGTCTGTTAAATAATTCATGTGGGACCAACTATCCTCCCCAACCTCCACTTTTAGGCAGCAAGCGGAGGCTATTAAATAATACATACAGTGAATAGCCCTGCAGGCGTTATCAGGTACTCTGTATTAGTTATAGTGTCATGCCACCTTTGACTTTTGTAGTATTTAAACCATTTCAGAATGGTTTGATTTCTTATCTGAGGTCCACCGGAGCTGCTCCTATCCTCCATTACAACCTTCAAAGATTTAAAAACTAAGAGCTCTCGTCACAAATCCTGGCCAAACTAGCTGATTGGCTGAGAGTGTCAGCTGACTGATCTCAGCCAGTGAGCACAATTTCCTGCTCGCTCTCCTTGCTGCTGACAATTTTGGTTTTGGTCCTAATCCACTACTGACTGGATATGTGCTCTGCCAAACTGAAGGGAGCACGTGTCCTGATGTGGGCCCATTGCAACTAATATAACTAAAATAAAGATTTTTGCATTCATATCACAATAGAGAAGAAGATAACTGCATTTTGGATCTGATTCTATGGAGCTAAAAGCAATCAAGCTGCGAATCAGGAAACAGAGTGCTAGCCTATGGTAAAACATACCTTCCAAGAGTCTCTATTGAGGACAGTCCCAATTTTGGGCCCAAATCCAGTGGTGGGATTCAGCCGGTTCTCGCTAGGTGCAGAGCTACAGACCATGGGGTAGAGATCTCGCGATCTCAGGCCAGTCAGAACGTTGCCGCGAGTTACCACGGCAACACTCTGACACATGAAGTGCCGGAAATCGCAAGATCTCTACTCCATGGTCTGGCAGAGCTGCAGACCAGAGGCATCAGCAGACTAGCCCATTTGACCAACAGAGAGGAGGAGACCACTAGTGTACTGCATGGAATGGAGTATACTTTAAAAAAAAAAGTTAAGAGTGCCATAGCATCCCCACACACTGCCACCCCCCACTGCCACCATCACCTTACACTCCCACCCTCCCACTACCACCACCCCCTCATATTACTACGCCCCCACTGCCACCATCCCCTCACTCTACCACCCTTCAATGTCACCATCCCCTCACCCCCTCACTGTCAACATCTCTTCACACTACAACCCCCCCACTGTCACCATTCCCTCAGCTCCCCTCATCCCCCACTGTCACCCTCCCCTCACACTACCACCTCTCATCTGCCACCACCCCTTCACATTACTATGCCCCCACTGCCACCATTCCCTCACTCTACCACCCTCCACTGTCACCATCCCCAAACCCCCCCCACTGTCACCATCTCCTCACACTATCACCCCCACACTGTCACCATCCCCTTACACTACCACCACCCTGTACTGTCACCATCTCCTACACTGTCACCATCCCTTCACACTACCACCACCACACTGTTATCACCCCCCGTCACCACTTCCACCACTGTCACCACATCCCCGAATTGTCACCTTCCCACACACACTGTCACCACCACCCCCTTACACTTTCATCCTCCCACACACTGTCACCATTGGACACATTATTACCTACACACACTGTCCCCCTCACACACTACCGCCCCACACACTGTCACTATTGCACTGTCCCTCTCCCACACACACATTGTCACCATACCCTCACAATGTCACTCTCCCACACACATACACTGTCACCATCCCCTCACACTACAACTTCCCACACTGTCACCTCTTCCCACACTGTCACCCCCACACTACCACCATTTCCACACACTATCAGGCTAAGGGAAAAGACATGGTACAGAGAGGCTTGGGACACAGACATGGCACAGACATGCTGGGGGAAAATAGATGGCACATGGGGGCTGGTGGCAGAGACATGGCATAGGGAGACTGGGGCAGAGCAATTGCACTGAGAGACTGAGGGCAGAGAGATAGTACAGTGAGGCTGGTGGCAAAGAGATGGCAGAGATAGGATAGGGGCAAAGAGATGGCACAGAGAGGCTGGGGCAGAGAGGCTGGGGCAGAGAGATGACAGAGTGAGGCTAAGGGCAGAGAGATAGCACAAGGAGGCTGGTGGCAGATAGATGGCACTGAGAGGCCGGTGGCAGAGAGTTGACACTGGCAGGTTGTTTGGAGGCACATGGCACTAGCAGACTTTTTGGAGGCACTTGTGGCTCATTGGCATAATATACAAAGTTTAAGAATTTACTGCTTGTTTGTTTGATATTCAGGATTTATGCATTCACTGCTCATTAGCATGATATACCAAGTTTATATATGTATAGCTTCATTGGCATGATATACCAGGTTTATGCATTTAATGTTAATTGAGATGATATACCAAGTGTATGCATTTATTGCTCATTGGTATGGTATACCTAATTTTTGTATTTACTGCTCATTGGCATGATATACCAAGTTCATGCATTTACTGCTCAATGGCATGATATACCAAGTTTATGTATTTATTGCTCATTGACATTGTATACCTAATGTTTGTATTCACTGCTTTTTGGCATGACATACAAGGTTTATGCATTTACTGCATCAATAGCATTCCTTTGCTCCATGGGTGTTTTTACCCCCAGGGTATATATGTGTGACTGTGTCGATGTGCTTGTGTGTGCGTGCATGACTGAGGGGTGGAATGGAGTCTTTGCACCAAGCAGCACAATGTCTTGGGCCGACCCTGTGGTCTTGGAAACCTATAAAAAGTCGTAAATGGTTACTAAAATTTTCGAATCCCACTACTGCCCAAATCCCTCTGTCCCTCTTTTCTATCCTTATGTGCTATCCTAATGTGCCTCTTTTCTAGGAGCTCCATATTGTTGTCACAGTGTATCACAGGGCTCCACAGCAATAATTCTCACAGTAATGTGTCTTTAAGCTACAATAAATGTGTTTAGAAATCAGTCTGTGTATATAAGATTCATTGATTTTGTTCTAAATTACATTTTCGTTGTATAAACTGTTATTAGTGAGTCACCTAAAATTTATCAGAATAGCCCCACCCCACACAAGCCCCTAAAATTGGAGTGTCCCTCTGTCTATTTGAAATGTTGGAGTTGGAGTTTATACCGTCTATTAAACTATTTTGGAGTGTTGTTGCTGGCAATATGGATATTTTACAAGCATACTATATTCGCTCCAGGTTTGGTATTTGGTATTTAACTCCATAAGAGGAAAGGAAATTATGGTTATACAATAAAAACCACCCTGCAAGCTCAGCATATATAACTTGTTTTACTCTCACTTTCAGTGCCACATCTGCACATTGCTCTGTTCTCCGCTGTGGCACTGAAAGGGTTAATTTGTTTGGCACTGCTCATCTGTTGTGACCATACTCCTGATCTCATAGCATTAACTCTAGGAAAAGGAAGGACTTCTTTTTTTTTTTTTTTTAAAGCCCCTGAAAAACCACCACACCATTTAGTAAATTCAATATAATATTTCTATTGCTTTCCTCTGGAGGGACACTTTAATAATTGAAATCGCTGCAAAGTTGCACCAGTTCATAAATCTCAATTTTGCTGTAACTTTGCAGCAATGACAAATTGAGCCAACAGTACACAGAGTCCAAGTGACATCTGATAAAATAATTCAGCAAAATGATACAGAAAGCTTGCAATCAGGAGATTTCAATATTTCCTATTACAGGGACAGCAAATATTGTTTATACAGAAAATGTGTATTACAGTAGATATTGATAGACATGGAGACATAACATTTTATTTGATATTAATTCTTAATAGATGTATTGTACTAATTGTTTACGATAGTGTTATGTAATTATAAAGAATTCAATAAAAAATATTTGAAAAGACATGGAGACATCACACACTACTCACTGTATACAGTCAGGGTCACTGATTCTTGCTGTGGTCCTTTATCTGTCTGTGCAGATACTGTGTAAATACCCTGGTCTGTAATCACCAGATCTGAGATCAGTAACGAGACATTAGGGAGCCTGCTGGCCCGAGAGAAATACTGATTTCCATTAATCTGTGGGGGGTTTACACTCGGGATATATGAGAGGATTAGATTATAAAAGTTTCTGTTCGGTCCTTTATACCAGCTGAATTGCAGGAGATTCCCATTGATCCCAGTAACACTGAGAGTGACTGACTGACCCACGGCAGGATACTGAGGGATCACCTGGATACTGAGTGCACTGATTGGCTGCATCCACACACTGAGCAAAACTGAAAGAGATAAAACAGCAGGATTAATGGCAACAAATAACCAGCCTGTTCCACAAAATTACAAAATAATTCCTCTTAAAACAATCATACATACCAGACAGACATTACCTGAACCTCATGTATGTACTGTGTTACTGACTATGGCTGATATTAGATGAAAACTGTTTTAATTACTTAAAAAAATATTATTCTGTTTGTAAATAAATTCCAGCCATGTTACTATTATTATTATTATTATTATTATTATTATTATTATTATTATATATTTTGCAGTACATTGTTTTTTCCTGCCAAGTTAGGAAATGGGAAATGTAACAAATGTAAAAACAGGAGACATTGGGAGTCCCAATTCAGGTGTAGCTGTATTGGAAAGAGCTGTTCCATTAACAGCCAGGGTAACAGCCCCTCTAGTATGGAACTGAGGATGAAAGAAAGGCTAGGCGCCCTATAGTGCCCCCTCTCCTCCTCCCCTCATTTTAAGACCACGTGGTGAAGAAAACTCCTTCTGTCACTAACCTGAGTCCAGCACAGATGCCTCTCGGTGCTGGTTGGGGCTCTCCCCTGCCGATGTCAGCCAGTGCTCACATTAGTACCTCCTCCATAGGAAAGCATTATGCAATCCTTTCTAGCTCATTTAGCACTATTTAATTTGTATCCCATGTTGGAATTAGTGTCAGAACCACCAATATTGGGGTACTGTTTAGTAGTGGTGGGCTTACCACACTACAGCCATCTGGTGGAACTGAATCCCCATATTTTTTTGCTGCAATAGCGGATATTAAGTAGCCTTATAAAATGTAAAACTGCATTTTTTTTCTGCGCTTAATCTGTATTATGTATAAACTTTGGTCTCTACAACAGCACCATCCATGAGAAATGCATATTCTGGGTGAGCCCCCTGTTTTTGTCTTTACTAATAACAGTTCATTGACATTATTATATGCTAAAATACTAAGCAAGAAAAATGTTTTTGTGCATCTTGCTTTTCTACACTGATCCTCTCTCCCTGTTTCTTCACCCATTAACCATTTTCTCATATTTCTCTAAAAAATATTTTTTGCAATTAATCTCTTATTACAAATTCTTCACTACTCCTTCCCTTTTTCCTTCATAAATTCCTTATTTATTTTGCAGTATTTCCTTATTGTGCAAGGGTTCTCAGAAACTGGGTTATGTTGTATTTATTGTTCAGAGTAACAGAATACGTAGGTCCAAGCAGGATATAATTCCATAATCTCTAGAGTTCTCACTGAGAATTCAACCAACAGGTATATTACAATTTTCTTTCTAACACTGTCAGGCTTATTTGCCGAAGTGAAAATTGTTGGGAATCTAAAGGGAATTTCAAATATTAGGCAAAATAGTTCAATTGGAAACATAGAAATATATATATACTAGAAGGTGCGTAAAAAATGGCACCTATTTAAGTAGTTATGTATAGTAGATATGTCTTAAGCTGCTGTATACACTCTGTGGGCACTCCTAACACCCCATCACAAGAATAGTAATCACCAAAAAGAAACAGTCAAATTAACAGTCTGGTTGGTGTTTCCACCTGCCAAGCGGTTAGTTCTTGAGTGCAGCGCTATACCAATACATGAGGTAAATATTCCTCAGAAGAATAAATAGGACAATTACAAATAAACTTACAGGAACAATAGGTTGAAGAGGACCCTGCTCAATCGAGCTTACATTCTATAGGAGGTGGGGTGTAAAACACATTAGGACAGGAATGTGCAATCAAATAAGGTGGGCTGCCCTTTAGGAGAGGGCAAGAGACGGGTATGTGAGGTAGGGGTTAGTCTTGGAGGCCATAAGCTTTCCTAAAGAGATGGGTTTTAAGGCACTTCTTAAAAGATGCAAGACTAGGGGAGAGTCGGATGGTGGTAGGCAGGCTATTCCATAGGAAGGGAGCCGCCCGCGAGAAGTCCTGCAAGCGCGAGTTGGCCGTACGGGTGCGGACAACGGACAGGAGGTGGTCACGGGCAGAGCGGAGAGACCGAGAAGGGACATACCTGTGGATCAGTGAGGAGATATAAGAGGGGCTAGAGTTGTTCAGTGCTTTATAGGTGTGAGTTAGTGCCTTGAATTGACTCCTATAGCACACAGGAAGCCAATGTAAGGACTGGCAGAGGGGTGAGGTGTGAGAGAACCGACTAGAGAGGAAAATCAGTCTAGCAGCAGCATTCATTACAGACTGTAGGGGTGCAGTACGGCTTTTGGGAAGACCAAGCAGGAGAGGGTTACAATAATCCATGCGTGAAATTATTAGAGCATGGACAAGCTCCTTGGTAGTATCTGGTGCAAGAAAGGGGCGGATGTAGTACATATGCAAGACAGAAAACATATACAAGTAATAGTGCGATATTGTATATACAATTGAAAAATAAGTGAATATGTGAGTTATAAACAGAGATATTCTCACATTTTATAGAGCCCTTTTAGGGTATAAGGCTACAAACTTTCAGGTTCCTGTGTCTTTGAGGTAGACAACACATCCCTTTTCTGCAGGACGATAAGTCTCTCCACAATATATGTAATTAACAAAAGGTGCAGAGGGAACAGGATCTAGGTGCAGTACCTTTAATAATTGTAATCAATATTATTTAAAAAAATTAATAAAATAGGTGCTCACCTTTTTTAGAGCCTTTTTATAACTGGCTCTAAGTATGTAGACCTGGTGTCAAATTTTTGGGGTGACACTCCCCCTACCGGAATGACAGCATAGGATGCAGGTAAAAGTTGATAGTAATTTTATTGGAAGATACTTTAAAAATACTATATTAAAAATATCAAATACATAAAATAAAAACAAAAGTGGGGGCCCTAAATGAAAAATTTCCCCACCCCTTCCAAGGTGACTAGAGGTCCCCAAGCCCCTAGTCACCCCTCCACCCAAATAAAAAACTATCCCCTACCTACCCCCCACCCTAAAAATAGTGAGGGGGAAATAAAATAATTAACCTGTAAAGAAAAAAAACTTACTATTTGATGTCCTCTTTCTTCTAAAATCTTCAAATAATAAAATCTTCATATAAAAAACCATGATACCCGTCAAACTTAAAATAAAATAAAAAGCCTGAGCGCAAAAAAAAACAGATGAAAAAGAAAAAAAACAAGGCGCACACTGAGCTCCGCAGGGCGGGGAAAGGCTTATAAAGCCTTGCCCTGCCCTGCAATTAAGCTAAGAACACTCTGATTGGTTGGTTTAAGCCAATTAGAGTGTCATTTTACTTCCTCCCAGCAGTAGTTATGGCTGACATTTACGTCACTTCCTCCCAGCAGTAGTTACGTCTGACATTTTTTAAGGGGCCCGGTCATGCTATAACATGGCCGCAGCACTGACCGGGCCCCTGAAGATATAGGCCCCATCAGGTGGCCCTATGTGCATGAGCCAGTTCCCTGGAGTTCCCTGGTACCGTCATTTCATTCTGCATTAAACAGTTTTTAACGTTTCTTATGTTTTAATGCTAAACAAGAGTCCCTGGCAGTCCATCCTCTCTGTGCTGCTTTGGCTAATGAGGAAGTATTATTTCCTGGTTCCTGGTATATAAATCTCTAAGACTGGCTAACAATGGTGGGCACAGTGTTGCTGAATATGCTGGCACTTTATAAATATACATAAATACATATTTAATATTAGTCTGCAGTTATTAATTCTGTCCTTGCTTTCCCTAATGATATGCAAGCCCGTATAAACCATATCTCATTATCCCCAGCATCTCCCCAGGGGTATTAGTGAGAAAAGAAAAAGTCAATTAAGGGTTGCAGTCATGGGCAGGCAGGAGCTAAACTTGCAACAAGGATTGAGACTCCAATCAGTCTCAGAAATCCCTGAAATGATTCCCTAAGATGGAAGAGAAGGAAGCCATAGCAAGACATAGTACATAGTTACATAGTTACATAGCTGAAAAGAGACTTGCGTCCATCAAGTTCAGCCTACCTCACATTTGTTTTTTGCTGTTGATCCAAAAGAAGGCAAAAAAACCCAGTTTGAAGCACAATTTTGCAACAAGCTAGGAAAAAAATTCCTTCTTGACCCCAGAATGGCAGTCAGATTTATCCTTGGATCAAGCAGTTATTACCCTACATTGAAAGATTATATCCTTGAATATTCTGTTCTTGCAAGTATGCATCTAGTAGCCGTTTGAACATCTGTATGGACTCTGATAAAACCACTTCTTCAGGCAGAGAATTCCACATCCTGATTGTTCTTACAGTAAAAAAACCTTTCCTTTGCCTTAGACGAAATCTTCTTTCTTCTAGTCTAAACGCATGGCCTCGTGTCCTATGTAAAGTCCGGTTTGTGAATAGATTTCCACACAATGGTTTGTATTGGCCCCGAATATATTTGTATAATGTTATCATATCCCCTCTCAGGCGACGTTTTTCTAAACTAAATAGGTTTAAATTTGTTAACCTTTCTTCATAGCTGATATGTTCCATTCCTTTTATTAATTTTGTAGCCTGCCTCTGCACTTTTTCTAGTGCCATAATATCCTTCTTTAGAACAGGTGCCCAAAATTGCACAGCATATTCAATATGTGGTCTTACCAGTGATTTATAAAGAGGCAAAATGATATTCTCGTCCCGAGAATGAATGCCCTTTTTCATGCATGACAATACCTTACTGGCCTTGGCCACTGCTGATTGACATTGCACATTGTTGCATAGTTTGTTGTCTATAACAATTCCCAAGTCCTTTTCATGTGTTGTTATCCCTAATTCGCTTCCATTAAGGGTATACGTTGCTTGTGTATTCTTTACGCCGAAGTGCATAACTTTGCATTTTTCAACATTAAATTTCATCTGCCATTTGAGTGCCCAGTCCCCCAGTCTATCTAAATCCCTCTGCAGCAAAGTAATATCTTGCTCACATTGTATTGTTTTACAAAGTTTGGTGTCATCTGCAAACACTGAAACATGACTTTCAATGCGGTCTTCAAGATCATTTATAAACATGTTAAATAGAAGGGGTCCCAG